GGAGACGGGACCTACGGTTTATTCGTCCTTATCCGAGAAGACTAGAATGTCTATACATTTCTAGATATTATAGAAAGGTAGCGCATTCTCCTCAGTTATTTTAAGACCTTGAGTGTTGGTCCGGCCGGGGCTCGAACCATTGACCTCGACCTCCCGCACAACAGTCCAGCGCTCTAACCAATTGAGCTAACCGGGAGGCGGTATGGAATTTTCATCCAAACAACTTACAAACACTTTGACTAGATTTCACTACTAAGAACGCCTGTGTTTGGTTCAAACAACATTTAGACCTGAAAACTTTCTAATTTGAGAAATAGAACTCGGTTATTAGTACATCTATCCGGAAAGTTCTTGGGCAACCTTTTTGATGTCTCTAAAAACAAAGTAAGCGCCTATCACTAAATGTAACTTCATCTTACAAGTAGATTTTCTGCTTCCGTTAGTTTAATCAATCAAAAGGATTTCTGACAAAAATGGTGCACTATTCAAATAACAATTACCGCTAGGGAAATTTGTCATTTGTGTTCTGAATAATGGCTCCCGCCATTAAAACATATGGCATAAAACATAAACAGCTATCATAGAAATGTTGTTTCACTATTTTAAATTTTATTTTTGATTAGCGGGTCTAAATGTGGAATTAGGAAATGTAAGATACAATGCAACAAACAAAGAAAACGAACAAAAACATCGTCAACAGCAACAAAAACAACAAGAGGAAAAACAAGTTTTTAAAGGTTGACACAAGTTTTAATTCTCCTTCTATTTTTTTCTTTAGATGAACTAAAATACCATACTCGCAACACTTCAAGACTACAATATCCGACCTTTTAGTACCTTGCACCTTATTGTTGTTCTGTTCGACATCCCTGAATCATTTGACCACGTTATATTTGACCTGTTCTGGGGCTATCCAAGGAACAAGCGAGACTACCTCGATGCCTCTGTTCTGATTTACAGTGGTAAAAAACTGGCATATATAGCAGATTACCGTCATAAAGTATTCTATAATGATGCGGTATGCCATTCGGGGGATGTTATGGATGACGAAAAACGTCAAGGTCACCATACTATTGATGTGAAACTCAAGAGCTTGCCTGTTGAAGTCGACAAGTTATTTTTCACTCTTAGTGCATGGAATTCTCCAAATATTTCTAAATACAAAGATCCCAGATTGCGCTTCTTTGATGCCAGAGAACCTGACGTGCAGCTCTGCAGAGACCAGTTGCAAGATGCAGCTCAATCGCAAGCTGTAATCATGAGCAGTTTGTCCAGGATTGACGGTGGCTGGAAAGTTTGCCGTTCGCTCACGCTGTCAGCGGGAAACGCAAAGGGCTATGCTCCACTGCAGAAAACCATTGGGTCAAGAATAGCTGAAGGATTGTATTAGATAAGCAACAATTTAACTCACTGCATTTTTAGTTGCATTAACAGTAATTTGTTAGATTTGACCGGATTGGAAATGTCTTCAAACCTTCATAGCTGGAGGATTGTATTAGACAAGCAACTACTCATCTCACTTAATTTTTCAGTTGCATTAACAGTAATGTTTTAGATCCGAGCAGATTGGAAGTGTCTTCGAACCTTTTATGATTGAATTAGATTTTTCATGGATGAATGTTAATAGTCGGAGTATACCTTTTGGCAGCAACAAGCTACTTCTCTTTTTTTGAGCGCTGGTAAGTAACTCTCTTTGAAGGGCAAAATAAAATTGTGGACTTTTTCAAAACCACCGTTTTATTTTCCAGACTTAAGGATACGACAACAATAAAACGGATCAGGAGAAGAAGAGTTTTACTTTTTTTCAAGACTCTTTTTCCAGGTATTGATGCATATTTTTTTCGAAAAATATAGCAACAGGTTAGGCATGTAGGTCAGAATTCTCACGAGTCAAACATTATGCTAATAAACAGGTGAGTATACACCTTATTCCAAAATGGCTGAGACTTTATAATTCTTTTATGTTCATGTAAATTAGCCCTCGATGCCTCGATTCTACCAAGAAATTCTTTTCAATTCTGAAGATGCGATCGAGGCATCGAGGGCCAATTAACATAAGTATAAAAGAATAATACAATGGTGGCTATTTTGGAATAAGATGTATAATAATGATAATAAATTATTTGAAATCGATAATGTAGGTAGTAGTTGCTCAGTCTTCTGAGCCGGTGGCTCATGTTGAAAACACACTCGATAAATAAAATTTAGAAAAATATACTATATAAACATAAAAATTAATAAATTATTTAATAAATTATTAATAAAATTAATAAAATTAATAAATTATTAATAAATTATTTGAAATCGATAATGTAGGTAGTAGTTGCTCAATCTTCTGAGCCGGTGGCTCATGTTGAAAACACACTCGAGAAATAAATTTTAGAAAAATATACTATATAAACATAAAAATTAATAATCAGTAAACTAATATATAAGCATATCTATATACGTTAAAGGACTATTAACCTAAAAAGCTAAAAAAAAAAAAACTAAAAAAAAACCCCCAAAAATTAAAAAGGTTCGTTTCAGTTAAGAAAAAATCTAATCTATGAAGAACAGGAGTAGCATGTACAACCTTTAAATGCTAAATTTTTTATGCATTCCGAAACTCTGTTAGAGATTTGGCATATTTAGCATACTCGCAGAGTTTGGTAAATTATTCCAATAATGTGAAACCCTATATGAAAATGAATCATGTAAAAACTTAGTATTAGATGAAACTTGTTCAAGATTATAACTACTACCTCTTAGATTATATTTAGTGACTTTTGGTTAAAAAAATCGAAAATATATAATGGTGCTGAGCCATGAGTTTACAAGTCCATGGAATTATAAACTAAAGATAAGGAAACTATACAACCCCTATGCTCTAATGAACGCATACAGGCTAGATTAAGTAACTCACTATACCTCTTGTTGTGACCAGCTTTCAATAATGTTTTCAGACCATACTCATTCGCTGACTCCATCTTATTTGTCAAAGACTTATTTATATCCAACAAACTGAGGGCTGCAATTTTCAAAATGGGGCAAAGTACACGCCTTATATAACTTAAGTAATATGTATTTAGGAACAAGGAGACGCCTTAATGCCGCAATTTTTGCGTAAACTTTTCTCAACATTAAAATCACTCAATTTGTTACCAAGAGTAAAGCCTAGAATTCTTAGCGTGTCCTACGGCATAATAATTTTACTTTTAAGTTTAAGGTCATAATTGTATTGGGATCTACCCAAAGTCATTGCTTGCGTTTTTTATGCATTGACTTGTAGAAAGTTATCCGTGAACCAGGTAGCGAGACCAGCACTATTAGTGTTTAGCAGAAACTCAAGAGTGGCGGGCAATTTCCTGAACCATGCTGTGTTGTATCATCTACATACAAACGGGGGGCTGATATGATGACGTTGGTGTTGTTGATGTCGTTTATGAAAATGTTAAATTATAAGGGAGCCGAGTTGCCAAGATGTAGCGCCGGCTCGTTAATACCGCAGGCTTTCAGCTACAAGGGTATCAGAATAAAACTGTGTTGACGCAGTTGATTAATTTAACGTGGTGCCTTTTTCTTTAGGAAAATTGCGATTAAGACGAGTCTGTAGTCTGCATGGCCTTCACCCGTCTGAAAATATGATTTTACGTCTGGATTCCTAAAGCCTGAAGGCCTTAGGTATCCTTTTTGGGCTTCTTAAAAGACCACTGGCTCAGTACCAATTATCGATGAAGCGTCTTTTCGTTGCTCTTACCCCAGAGTTTTCGTTTGGAATAAACTCTTAGACTGGTATTTTCTCATACTTGAAAAAAACTCTATTGAAAACAAATTTAGAGAATAAAGTGTTCTAGTAAATTATCATCATACAATTCCAAAATAATTTCAAACAGAAAAATTATCAAGTAAGTAACCCCTAGTCAAGTGTAAACTTACTGGCGAGTGTTTTCTATTATTTTAGACTTAGAGATATAGTAATGAATTCATAATTTACATAAATCAACCAGATTTATGTAAATTAAATCGAAAGTCTATTACTTCTACCCCTTCACATCCAGTCTCTACCGTTACAGCGTTACAGTTTAGTGTTTAATGAAAAAAAATTGAAAATAGATATTCCTTTTCGTGCTACAATGTCGCTAACTATAATCAGTGCCAATCAAGCTTGCTCAGTTCTCTTCAGTTGTAACCACGATGAATAACCAGTCACGGTTACAAGGTTTTTAAGAGTTACCTGACTGGACAAGTAGTTTGTGGTGAGCGTTTTCTTGGTTTTTCTTGTTTTAGAATGTTTCCAATGGTATTTACTCTAAATTTAGATGAAATCTTATTATACACGTTAATATTTTTTTCCCAGAAAAAGAAAAAAAATTACGAATAATTCTATTTTAAGAATGATAAAGCTGGCTATTCCATGGTAAATTCCACATTTTTCTTAATGGCTATGCCCTCCCCCACATAGTATGTTTTCCTGATTCCTTCAAATTTTCCTCTTCCCCAATCTTTTTAACCTCCCCTTCCCACTTGGGTTTTCTTTTACGGGGTGGTATGGTTACTTCAAAGTGAGCTTCTCACCAATATCAAATGGTTAGAGGCCCTAATGGTAGAAAATAAGACAGATTCACCACCAGGCCCTTGATCATTTTTGGTGACTGAAAATCAAGGGGGTTACCAATGTGAAACAGAAGCTTTGTTGGCAAAGTTACTAGATTAATTTGCAAAACCGCGGCAAGAAAACTTGCTTCGACCTCATAATGTCATGATAAGATGGAAATACCCGATGCACAATCCACTTACGGGCATTGTGGGAACCGGCAACTCTTTTCAGATTCTTGTTATAGTCTCCTCTCTGCACGCTGTAAACTGAAAAGGGCCGATTCCGCTGTCAAAACAGTTGAAAACGGTTATATCAAGTAACAATACGGAGCATTCTTATATTTTCAACTATCGACAGCTCTTACGGCTAAATGTCTTATCCGGCCTTTTAATCTATTTCAAACAAGCCACTTTTGACAAGAACGTTCTCCTTTATTTGTAAACTATCATTTGAAATCGTAAAGGGAAATAAATAATAATAACAATAATAAAAAAACCCGAGACTATTTGATCAACCACACACTCGATCTAAAGAAAAGCATTATATATGTATCAGCGGAATAAAACGATGATGGAAACTTCATCTACCCTTTAAGAAGTACAAACAATTAGGTTTGATTTCCTATTAGAATGGCGGCTATTTTCCAACCTTTGCCCCACGCGGCCAACTTAGCTAACCCTACCTAACGAACATTACAGCCGTGACAATTCACTCCTGATATTCCTGCATGTTTTATTCGGCTTTTCTTTTCTATTCCAAGCAATCAATGGTTTGATAACGACTATCGTTTTCATCAGCAAACTATAAACTTTCGTGGTAAAAAGAAATTAAGGAAAATTTTTAAATTGTTATACATCACCATATTTGGTCATTTGATCAATTACAACTGATCTCCCCAAAAGGAGAAACCTTGACTATGGCGTACAAGTCATTCGCCTTTAACAAAACAACTAGATTTATCTCTTAAAAAAAACGGCGGCTTTTTTTCTTGCCTTAGCGTTAGTGAACGAACATGAGTAACTTACCCTAACTACCTACGTGAATGTTACAACCTTTGACCTTTGCTTGTCGTGATGCGTGACATAAACGTCACTGTCTTGTCTACGGCCAGAATAACTCTACAAATTTTACTTATTCTGTCGTCGTTAATGTAAACGAAAAAAATGTTTTAGCTATAAATACTCGAATCAAAAACGAGAACTTCGTCAAATCTTGCTATTTTCTCCAACAAATAAACTTGTCAAATCCCAAGATACTGGACTAAACTAGCCCTCAATTACGAAATAACCGTCTCTCATGCGGCCGAGTGGTACTGGTACACTATATCCTACCTCCGATTGACTACTCTAACCTTATTAAATTGTTACATAAATTGAGATTTGATAAAACTCAGATGTCTATTCGATCTAAGGAATCCTAGCCTTAAAGAATGTTATGTATATCAGGGGAATTTTTCAGTCAAGAACAACTGATAGACCCTGTCGATGTGCCAACATAGGACTACTAAAACAAATTGACAAAAGTGTCCGATTATGCGGAGATACTCCATTCTTTGGAAATTTTCTGTCAGTCTACCATGCAGATCATTGTGTTACGTTTTCTTCATGAATAACTGAACCGTGATAGGCCTTTCTTCTTCTGACGGGATCTTTGTGCAGTCGGCCTGCCTCCTTTGGTTGCTGGGGTACGAGAAACCACCTTCGCTTCTTCGAGAGACTGCGATACAACACGGCAAATTATTGTCTAAAAATATCACTATATAATGCAAGGGGGCATATTCTGTAGCGCCTTACTTTTCAAACAGACCACCAAGTGATATGATAAAGAGGAGAGAGACTATTATTTCAAAGGTATGCAGCTAGAATGCTTAGTAAGATCTAAAATGACGGCGTGCGAAGTAAACTTTTCAGCAGCTTTCGTTCTAGTCCAAACTTGCATCATTTTTCCTTTACATCATTATACTCGTCAGGAAGACTAATGCTAAAGAAAGGTATGATCCAGAAGCTATGAAATGGTTTTTGATCATGTTATCATCGTTGAAAGGCCTTCCTCACTGAATCAAATTTGGCTTGCAAGATGGCAAAAATTGGTTCTTCTTAAACGCTACTTCAAATGCCCCTCCTGCCTCAGCTTTTGATTTATTTTCACATAACCATGCAGGCAAAGTAGTAGCTTATAATTAACCGCGCCTCTGCGCAAAGTCATGTCTATGGTTCCATGAAGGCAGGTTTATTTTGGGCGACAAAAAATCAGAAAAAACTGAAACACCGAATTACATAAATCACTGTTACTCACTTTAAGACGTTCCTGGTAAAAGCAAAGGACTTGGTACGTTTGTCCGATGATCAGAGTCTCTGGAAACGCAATGTGGAGGACTTTTTCTAAAGATTCAACGCCTGGCGATTTCCACGAATTGTTCAAGTCCATTGGCCAAAGAGAAGACTCTTGCATGCGCTCGGCTAGACACTCCCCGGGCTTGGGTCTCATTTCTTCGGAAGAAAGGTAGCGGAAAATGAACCGTCGGAGTGCTGTCGTGATGGCGCGTAGCGTAGAACGATCCTTCTCACTCTTACCAGAGAAAAAGGCTGCTTTGGCCATATCATCCGTAATCTCTTTGGGTATGGTAGTGCGATAAGTATCATGCACGCGCTTGGCAGCAGATTCGGCCAACGTGTCTTCAAGAAACTCATAAAGGGCGACTACATGCATAAGTTGGATTGCACTGTGGGGCTGTGGAAGTAACTGCTTTGGAAATGGTCTCGACCCACATAGCCACTTGTCGGTAAATTCTGTTAAAGGTTCCTCAGGTTTACCATGTTGATGTCTCTTTAACAGGCATAGGACGATTTCCATCTGTTCCAACAATTCCTGCACGCTCTCAAGGCTGTGCTCGCTCTGGCGTGCCAAACCACTCCGCAAAATATCTGTCAATGGCTGTTGAGGAATAAGCTCCTGCAATTCATCCAGAATACCTCTACATGTGTGAAACAGCTCTCGGGAGAAGATGAACTCGCGAAGTCCGTCGAAAGTCGAAAGGAAAGCTTTCCCTACAAGGAAGCGGGCTGCCATTTCTTTTTCAATCTTTGCCAGATCATAAAACATTTCTTTTCCATGGCCATACTCAGTGTTACGCTGAGAGTTCCTTAAAATGGCGTCCGTCCACTGGTATTGAATTACTTCTTTCTCACGTGCATCTTGGACGTGGACCATTGGAATAGAACACTTTCCCTTGTCTCGCTCCAGAAAAATCAAAGCAGACGATTTCCCTGTTGCGCCAATACTAAGAACCTTCTGCAGGAAGTTGTTCTGTATTTTCTGAAGTACTTCTATGGCAACACAAAGAAACACTCCTTGATCTCGTTTTTCAACAAGGCAGAGGGAAATCGGCGAGCTTTCGCTAATATAGGGTACATCTTTTTGCAGCTCTTCCTTGAGAAGAGGACGCATCTTCTCAAACGCAGTGGTAAAGTTCTAAAAGGCCTCGTTTAATTGTTCTCTTTCCGCTTGTTATTTGGCTCTTTCTCGAATAACGTCGCCAATCTTCTTGTTGGTGTCCTTACGACTGAGGCGCCTGCTCAACAGTGAGTCAACAATACGACTCCAGGAAACAAGGTGGACCAGATGTGCCACGAGTGGTAGACTGTCGTTAAAATCCAAAAACAAGCCCAGCAATGGAAATTTTTCTCTCTCTTTGTCCTCGGTTGACATGTAATATGACTTAAGGGCATTGAACGTTTTCGGTAATGTTACTCTAAGCAGACGAGGGATGTGTAGATTTCTCTCATTCATGTCTGAAAACTGCGGGCTGTCAGTCTCTTCAATCTTCCTTTGAATTACTGATAAAGATCCATCTACAGAACGCTCCAGCAACTTTCTTGGATAAAACTCGCGGAGCAAGTGTCCAATGGAAGCTGCGAACTTCTTTTCCCATGACAGCCTTTCATCTGGCGAGCTACAGAAATTTGCGGAGGTAAGAATGGAGGAACACTCTTGTAATGCACAATGCAACAAACGGATGACTTCTTCTTCTTTGGCATTTAAAATACTACAAAGCACCTTTAAGTCGTTTAATATCTGTTGGAAACAAATCTTGGAGGGATCGCTTTCATTCAGATTAATTTTCAGGAACTGACCGAGGGAGCTGTTATCAAACAATTCCAGTGCAAAGCCTCCATAGAGCGCTGCGTGAACAAACAAGTGGAGGATACGAAATTCTGCAGGTTTCAGCTGCCGAACGCAGAGGGAGATGTCATCAGAATTTAAAAGGGATACGTAACCTGTTAATGCCAATGTCTCTTCATCAACGCTTTCCCCATTTGGGATACCCTTTTTCTCACTTTCGAAATTTGACAAACAGTTGGGGCAACTTGCATCCTTGCCATCATCAACCACCACAAAGAAGGTGCCACAAGAACATGGAGAAGAGGTCGTTGTTAATTGTCGTGTGACATCGTAATTCCAATGTTTTTTGTACGGTTGCAAACCACCTTCCCCTGATGCTAAGACATACGAGTCTACGGAAGCTATTGGGTCGACAAAGTAGGACATCATAGCCAGCATTCCCTTCTTTGTACTTCTTTAACTTGAGGCAAGGATAATGCAAAGGTGCAAAATCAACGTTGACTTGTGGACATCTTCTGGTAGTGACTCCGGCGAAACGCAAAGTTTCGGGGCATTAAAATCTTTTTTGCCGGTGATTCGTTGAAGAAGGTTAACATAAGGAGTTTCCATGTTCTTTAACTTCTCTGTGAACAAAGCAATTGCCTTATCTTCAGTATCCTTCAAGTCCCGAGTGGAGCGTACTAGAAAGAACGACTTGGCCAGGACAGCTGCCACTTCAACCCTCATCTCCACTGAGTGAGACATTGAGGTTATGACATTTTCAAGTGGCGCGAAATTTCTCTTCTCAAGAAGAGTTGCCAGCGCAGCTTGGACTTCTGAGGTTACCAAGAATGATTGAAAAGGATCGAAACTTAGTTTACCAACCCGGTCGTCATCTAGCCCCTGTATTGTTTTTAACGCTGAGAGTTTACAGCTTGTTTGACAAAGGGTATAAATCTGGTACATTGGGAGGTTCTTCCTCAACTCCTTCAGAAAGTAGAATTGCAGCTCCGATATCCTGGTATCACGCAGTTGATCTGCTCCATTTAAGGTAAATGCGGCATTTATCTCATTCATTAACATGGAAAACTCTCCGTCTTCTAAAAGGTAAGAACGGTTTTCCAGAATAAATGCACAAAATGATGTCAAGAACGCTTTCAGGTACGCCACTGCACAGAGAAGCAGAAACATGCTCTGTTCGACCTCTTCTGAAGGCTCTGTCAGAATTTGAAAGGCCTTGCGAAAGTTCAAAAGCGGTCGATCTTCGGAGCCTGAAACCGTAGAAAAATCTATGTCCAAGAATGCAACTTCATTTATGAGATCACAACAGACAACAGCAAAAGGTGAGTCAAGCTCGACGTCATCAGGAAGACTTGATAAGGCACAACTAGTTTCCTGGAGACCTGGATGATCTCCAATGCTTTCGGGGCTGTCTAGGAGCTTTTCGAAAACACCTGGGGAAAACTCTTCTTCTATGAGGAATACTCGGTGAACCAGAGGTCCAGCCAGTTGAAATAGAGACAACTGTCCACTACGACAAATACTTTCCAGTATAGAACCAAAAACTGGATTGTCTGGATCGGAGTCAATACAGCGCCCATAGAAGAGCATCAGAAAGTTATCCACCCTTTCCTGTTGAACGCCTCGTTTAGCTACCTCGTCGACAACAACAGCAATTCGATTAAAAACGTCCTGAGAGTCAAGGTAACCTTCCGAGTTACCCAGTTGTCCAAGGGAACCTAACATGTAAAGGGAATACGGTTCGAGAGATTCAGGCAAAACTAGTAAGGTCACGTAGTCGTAACAGACACGAAGGAAATGAAAGGCAGGGCTCTCAACTTGCAATCTGCTAACTGTAGAAAGAAAGAGACTCGTCGTTCGTTGCCAATTGTCAGGGCCATCAAAGCTTTCTATCACATCAGACGTTGGAAATAACGCTGAACAGAGTGTTTCTACCAATACTTCATCAAAGCCAATCCCTTTTGCATCATAAGCCCCATCATCTGAGATTTTTTCCTCTGTGTCGTCGTTCCCTTGGTCACTCTCTACCTCTATTTGTTCACTGTCTTGTTGAACCTCTTCCTCTAGACCTTCTACCGCTTTATTGTCATCCTCTACCTTGGATTCGAGTACTTCTTTTCTAAGCCCCTCGTCTTTCGTAGTTACAACTGAGGTTCCCCCACCTGTGCCTTCGTCGTTTTCTGGGACATTTTCTTGCCCTGGTTTTTCTTCTGCTTCCTTTTCATCCACTCCTTCAGAGGTGTACTCTTGTTGATCGTCAGTGGTGATACCCTTTTCAACATGGTCCGCTTCGCAGGGAATATTAACATCTTCGACCCTGTTTAGAGTTCCTTCGTTCTCACCATCTTTGACTGACGTTCTCTTCAGAGCATATTGATGGTGGGCAACTTCAGCTGTTTCTCTTGGGTCCTGAGGCCGACTGTTCTCGTGCATGTCCCCACTGTTCTCACCATTGTCTGCCCTTTCATGAACGCATGATTCGCCATTGTGATTTCCCTTCAATGAACGGTCTGAGGACAGAAGATGTTCTTGCACTGCCTGCGTTTCATATCCTTCTTGGTCTGGTTCGTCAACGCTTTTAATTTCCACGTTTTCAACCAGCTCTTTTTCCCCTTCCATTACCTTTCCCAGACTACCCTCTTGGCCGCCTTTTATTTCTTGAAACATTACGTGGCCAGTTACGGGTTTCTCTTGTTCACCTGACCTCTTCCCGTTACTTCTTTCCAGTTGTTGAGAAGTTGAAGGATTTTCCATCACAGTTTCGCCAGTGTCGCGCTTCGATTCAGCGTTTTGTTGATCATTCTGCAGGTTACAACTCAAGTCTGTCTCTTCTGTTCTTTTGTAATAACTTCTACACTGGGTGTCATCAATTTCTCCGCTCGGCAATTGATCCTTGCTTTGGAACAGCATTTCCTCGAACACAGTTGACAGCTGGCAGAACACTTTCGTTAACTCCAGATGTTTGATTTTGGAACACGTCGCGTAGACCTGAAGAGCCGCCGTGTACGAGGTTTCGTTCAACCAAAAAAGGGAATGCAGGCGAGTGATAAGTAGAGCAGGGTCTCCATCAATTCTAAACTTAATATGGTTTGCCATCGCACACTTCAAAAACTCAATCCTCTCCTCACGGGAAAAAAAGGAGGAAAAGTGAAGTGTTTTCATGTCGATAAGATCTTCCACATAGTCCCCAACATTCTGTTGTAGGTATTCCAGCTCTAGGACATGAGGAATTTTCTCCTTTATCAAGGAAGTGAACCTGTATACCTGCGATTCTGCGGCGACGTCGTGCAACTCTGCATTTTCATCCAGGTTTGCCTCATTCAAAAGGAGCCCCCTTCGGTCATCAGCAAACAAAGGTTGAAGTTGATCTACTTTACTGCAAAATATGGCTGCCAGAGGAAATTTCAGCTGCAGGTGTCGCTCAGGAACAAAGTAAGACTCTACTCCTTGATGGTCAGGGATGTCCTCAACGTTTAAGATCTCTTGGTCCACGATCAACTCAGACCAAACCTGAAGTTCTTCCTCGTCTGAGGGATCCTGTGTCTATAGAAACTTTGGCCAGGCAGATTCCTTTTCCAAGATGTAGATGATCTTTGCTAGTGGATGGCGCACGAGATGGCTTACATAATGCTGAATGGCTCCTACAAGGTGTGAAGACCTAATTAAGGCTTGACGATCGCAGGCGACTGAAAATTGCCATGTTAGACCTTCTCCGTTTTGGGAATTGCCGTCAAGTCTTTTATTCATCCACCGTTTAACTAGCTCTTTGAAACATTCCAAGATCTTCGCGTTCGAGGACAACCTCAACAGCCGTTCTATCTCTAGAATTTCATCAACTGAGGGTTGGCGAATGGCTGGGTACTTGATTCGAGTGAAGCACCAAAGAAATTCGTTCGAGGCCACTTCAATAAAAGAGAGCGAATCGGTATTCATAAGGTCAATGACACTTACATCTAAACACTCAGTGATGGGCAAAGCCGGGGATTCCAAGACATCTATTGTTACTTGCCTCCAACCACTTTGGAAACTAAACTGCCAGTGCTGACTTTTAACTTCATTTGCATCGCTTTCTCTCTGAACATGGACAATAATGCAAACATGTTTGATCTGCCTTTGGATTGTCTCCACTGCTTCTTTGTACTTCTGTCCCTGCTGCTCGATAATTGATTTGGCAAGAAGCATATGGATCGCATCCAACTCTGGCTTGCATTGTAGTACCAACAGCGAGTCACTGGATCTCCAAAACCTTTCCAACTGCTTTGTTAAGTGCTTCTCTGACTTAAAAGCGCTTAGCTTTTCCGTTTGGCAATGTAACAGCCCTTCAAGACATTGCGCTACGTTGAAGTGGATGTTACTATGGGTCATGATCAGTAGTCGCATACCTCTGGCAGCATCATCACTTTGCTCTAGATCCAGCTGTAAAGCCTCCAATGAGTGTTGCAAATAATCCTTCAATCCACTGTGTAATGGCATCTCAAAAAAGCCGTTGTATAATGTCTGTACTTCTTCAAAATTCGTTTTGGCCAAGGAAGATTCTAGGCTCCTGAAGACACCATCAGGAGATGCTACTAATATGAGATCCTGCTTGCATTTTACCAAAATTTCGTCTTTGCTAAGTTCTTCCTCTTGACTGTTCTTGAGGACAAGCGAAGGTAAGGTATCGCAACAGAATCCAACAAACATATCTTCTTCGTGAAATTGAGATTCAAATCCAGGAATTGTGGAAATACCTCTCACCCATTCATTCAAACTGGTAATAATGCTTCTCTGCTTTCCGTCAAGGACGTCCGCAAAGCGGAGCAGCTGCTTCTCGAAACGGTTCAAGAATGGAGGATCTGTGAAGTCAACCCTTCGTTGATCAATCAACACAATACATCGAAAGCCATCGTGAACCTGACACATAGGATTGCTAAAGGCACCGAGCGCCACCCGGCAGTTTCTCTTCCCTCCAACGACAGTATAATTTTGGTTCAGCATATCATAAAGACTGCCATAGATGCTTTCCAGGTCTCGGAGAATGAGAACACAGTCTCTTTCCATGCATAAAATAATACGGCTCAGCATTCGATAATTGTACTCTTCAGAGAGATCTTCTTCAAATCGACTTCCAAAGATGGTGATTTTCTCTTTGTCAAGACTCTGCAGAGTCTGATCGAGGATGCCAATGGCAGCATCTCCATTGGTTATTATCATTAAATGACGGGCCAGTTTGTCGTGCAGATTGTCACGGATGAGTTGAGTCACTGGAGAAGGATACGTCTTCTCCACTAAATCCAACGAGTGGAGTCTTTTCTGAAACAACGTTTGAAAGTTGTTTACGTCACTGGGCACGCCACCAAAATTCCTCTGCAATGCATGTTGGATCCCCTTTGTTTTCTCTTCGAGCAGCGGGTGGTGAGATGAATCATGGTTCCTGTTTGAGCTGAGACATTTGATGAGGCTGTAATAGTCTCGTAGTCCATGAAAGTGTGCATATTTTTGAGATCCTTGATATTCATGATATGCTTCGGCAAGGCAGCGAAGCTGGTTGTCATCTGGATAGGTTTCTTTGCGAAGGGGGTGTCCTGAACGAGTACGAGACACTCCAAGTGCAGTTCTCTCGCTACCTGCCTCTCTTAGAGACTTTCCAGTGTCAAACAAATCGTTAACATCTGGTTCAGGCCGGGACAGATGAATTGCACGGTTCATCTTTGCAGCATCTAGGGCCCAGTTTGAGATGCCAACTACAGCAACATCAGGGAATGCACCATCACATGGTTCCAGCAGACTGTGCAATACTTTCAAAGGGTTGTACTTTGACACCTCAGCAAGACCAATCTCATCAAGAAGAACAACTGGAAGAATATCACCACCCTTGTTGTGCTCTTTGTACTTTCGCGCTTTCTCGAACACCTTGAGTATTCCATCCGATGTTGAGGACTCTGAACCTTGGTGAGAAACCACATAGAGTTGCGGAAGTTTCTTCAGAAAAGAATCTTTGGCATCTTTTCCTCTTAAGTTGCTACGAATAATTTGCATAGACAATGATTTGCTACACCCTGGGTTTCCAACGACGAAAACCGGAATTCGTTTGAGGATACAAACAAGCATAACAAACACATTCTCGCGAAGAGCACCATTTTTAGCGGTTCCCTCTGGCAATTCCATTCTTTCTAGGTAATCTTCTTGCTCTGCTCTTACAATGGCCTCAAAAAACTTTTCCTGAAACGAATATTTCTTGTGTTTTCTAAAGCACTCAGCAACGCGTTGCTGGTATCCCTTTCTTGCTTCTGCTGTAGGAAGACGCGATTGATAACAGTGAGCTAAGGCGAGGACGAAGGATCTTTCTAGATGAGGGCGCCCACGAGCAATCTCATGACAAGTGCGATTGCTAAATTTTGCTAAGGGTAAATCCTTACGTCCTTTCAATGCCTCTTTGAACCAATTCACAAGGAAAATGCATCGATGAGCGTCTCGTAGGCTGACACAGTAAGGGCTTCCGTCAACGTCTCGGATGTACTGCTGCGAAGTACAAAGCAGATCAGCTAACAAGTTGTCAGGTTTTCCGGTGATCCCTTCCACCATTCGACGAATGTATGCATGTTCATCGTCCTTACCCAGTGATCCATAGTCCCAGACAAAGTCGATCATCGTTTCAGGTAAAGGGTGAACCCGATATACCAGTTTTGAAAATTCGTCTGTTTCTATCTTCTCACTTAGACCAGCTGTCGTAATTTTCCCAGGCGGTCGAAGACGATAAGGGTTGCAAGCAGCGATGAATACCAAGTTAGCTGTGATTGGTTTACCTTTAATGCTATGGTGACAAATGACCTCATTGATTGTTCCCAGATATTCACAAGTGTTAATTTCGTCAAGGAACACCCAAACTTCTTTGCCATTTTTCGCTTCCACCTCCCTTTTGTCGATGAAGTTGATCACTTCTTCTTCAGTCACACCTGCATGAAAGTTGAAAACGTGAAATGGGACTCCACACGTTCTGGCTAGGTATCGAACGAGGCTGGTCTTACCACAACCTGTCTCTCCCATGACAAAGACTGGTATGCGTGCCTTTATACGTTGAATAATGAGCACCATTTTCAAGATATTGTCTGGCGTAAGGGCATAATCAAGCTTCTGTAAGCCGCCATCGTTTTGTCTTGGTGTTGTTCGAACAATCAGATCAAGTCTTTCCTGGAGTTCCCTCTGATTCAGCTTTGCAAAGTCTTTTATATCTTAACCTTTCTTCGCCTGTACTTTCAACAGTTTCTGTACATTGGAAGGCACCAGCGACAAGTCACGGTACAGAGCAGAAATAGTAAAAGCCTCTAGTCTGTGAAACGCAATAACAAGGTGATTGTTGTCAGCCCACTGAATCATTCCTTCAACCCGTTCAACCATTTCTTTTGCATCATTCCTTGAGGACGAATGGAGCTTTTTTAAGACTTCGGATGCTTGCTCTTTTGAAATGGCTTCTGATTGGACATCCTTACAGGTTACAACAGACCGTGATGCAAACTCTCTTGACACCTCCAAAAGGGCTTTGAATAAGCAGTTTCGGACATCATGTTGTGGGCCTAAGGCGGCATGTAAATTATGAGTTTTGAAAAAAGGACTTTCTGAAAACTGTAAGAGCTGATCCGCAAAAACCTTGAGAAAACTCTCAACAATGTTGTACGACAGATCCCCCGTTGACGAAAAATGCCTCGATAGAAGCTGTTTACATTGGTTAGGTGACAAAGGCTTTAGGTTGACAGGATTCAGATCTTTGGTTTCCAACAAACCAGATTCGTAAGCATGAAGGTACTGGCAGACCACTTGTACCGGACTCAATGGCTCCTGGCTTACGACAAGGTCTTTATACCCGACCAAGTTTACGTGCAAAGGAGAAAAACACTTTGTAATTGGAAGTGAATTTTGAAGCCAGTGCTTCAGTGTGTTAGCAATTTCGATGTACACATGCTTGGTCGGGAGATGGAAAAGTTCTGTGCCACAGGACATCATACCCACAACAACCAGTTCGAACATCATAGAGTCCAGCACCAACGGGTCATCCACTTCACCAATATCAAAATGAATGCATTCGTGAGGAGAAACGCTCAAACCAGACAACCTTTTCAAGAGGTTTTTCCGTGACAAAGGCCCCCTGATTGGTAGAGTCAAATCTTTCTTTTTACATGATGCCGCGTGCTCGTGGATAGCCTCTGTCTTTCCCACACCAGGAAGATCCGAAGTGACCATGAAAACGTTAGGAAAATTTTCCTTGAAAGTATCCCGTAGCTTTGGTTCTGACATTCCAAGAATGTTGTGGGCAGCTGTAGAGAACTGATCAGCAATGTGTTGATGGATACCTCCACAACAGACTAGCGCTAACAGATAAGGACCCTCAACCTTCTTTTGGTATGTTCTAATGGCTGTAACAAGTTCAAACTGCATGTCATTTGAAAGGTTTTCGACGTTTGCAAGGCAGTGTAACTTGACCACAGTGGAATGGCTATGTGCTTCAAAAGAACGTTTCAGAAGTCTCTCAACCTCTTCCCAACTGGTCTCTGAATGGCAGAAGAGGACTTGACTAGGCTGTGGAAAAGAGCCTGTTGTACTCTCGAACAATGACATAACCACATTGGCTGTCTGCTTACTGCCATGTTCAAGGACAGCGACAAACAGATCCCCGGGCTTGACAGCTCTTTGCAAATCGTGTTGTGGTATCTTTTCCATCTGCATACTTTGGCGTGGAATGAAGATTCTGTCCAAAACCTTTCCAATCGCCTGGAGGTCGCCCTTGAGTCCAGAGTTTCCTTTAGGTGCGTTGTAAAGGCTGCGGAAATCATCAAGCTCTTCACGTTGTATACTTGGATCCACAAAACGCAGCAAGCTGTGAACGGATGAAGTCAGCGAGAGTTGGCTCTGTGTTTTCGTTAAACGCTTTGAAAAAAAGTTGTGTAACAGCCACAGCTGATCAGGATGGAAAAAATTGAGGAAATAGTGCTGCTCTTGCAAACGCTTTAACAATGTTTCCCAGTCCTCCAAAGTAGACTCCAGGGTACGAGCCTGAGACTCAATATCGTGAGAGGACGTAAGCGTAACGTTCTGCCAAAAGCTTTCATACTTTGGATGACCAGATTCTCGCAGCAATGTGACAATGTTGACAATGTCGGTAATCATCTCCACTTGTTTTATGAATGTTGGTAATGTCTGGTTCACAGACTCAAATGAAGCACTGGAGTCATCTGAATTCCCCACCTGTTCCTGCTTCTTGTCTGTATTCAAAATTAGGAGAGCTCGGCTTCTCAGGTCGTGAAGTTCTGTCATACTATAGGTCGTCTCTTTTGCTGCACTTTCATTACGACGATAACTGAGTTGGACATCACTTGAGCCATCAGAGTTAGTTGTAATGCTGTAACATCCTTTCTGAACGGCGTTATTGATTATTTCTTTCGTCATCTCTCCACGGTTAGCAACATTCATATACAAGCCTCTTAGACTATGAACGTTACAGCCACACTCTTTGATTTTTGCTGCCATTTCTGATTTCTTTTCGAGCTTTCGGTAGCACTTCTTGAGACTATCAAGGAACATCATAGGATCCTTTGGGGTTTGTCGTAAGATGTTGCGCAGAAATCCATGTACATCTATTAAATCCGAGACGATAGCTTCAGAGACAAACTGATCAGAATGTTCCTCTACAGCATCAATTAGAATCCGAATGTCTTCATTCGCAGTTTCTTTCATGAACGAAATCAGTTCACTAGACATTTGAAGTGTTTCCATGATGGTCTTCAATGTATCGTCTAGCTCAGAGTTTACCATAGCCACGCTTCTCTTCTCAACAATCTCAGAGACACGTCTCAACGTGAGGTCACTGCCGGGGCTTGAAGATACCTCCATGAAGTCTTGTAGATCCTTGGTAACAGCTTCATCTTTAGAATCTTCAAATCCAAGGGCTGCATAAATCGACATCAGCTGTTGTACTTTTGCACAGACGAGAGGAAAAGATAGATAGTTTTGCAGCATTTCTTCTTTCCTTTTGGGAACTAACGTACCACAGATGGATGTAACTTCACGTAGCTCTCTACCAAGAGCCTCTTTGCTATCAATACCAGACAAGAGCGCACCAACATCCACGATTTTTGGATCCTTCGCGCTGTCAGTTAAACTGGTACATGCCTCTTTAAATTGATGCATGCCTTCGTTTTCGAGAAGATGCAGCACCTCAGCAGCCTCGTGTTGTGGAAGGTCGTCTGCAGAAACAGCTAACTCACCCATTGCTGTTTGAGAAGACGCCAGGTTTTCTTCCAAACACAAATGTGCAACGTTGGCAAAAATGATACTTCCTTGAACCTTTGTGGCTGTCTCTGAGGATCCCATCAACTTATCCAGTGTGCCCCAGTAGCTCACATCAAGAGCATCTTTAAGAGTGGCATTAACTTTTACTCTCTCTCTCTTGTTGATCTCATCGATGATAGAGTCTGCATCTGAAAGCACAACACATCCTTCACATACTTTCTTAAGAAAACGAAATGTCTGCTCTACTTTGGAAAAACGTCCACAAAAGATTTTAGCCCTTTCGCACTCCGACGACAATAGCGCTTTCCATTCCTCTATCTTATTCTGATCAATTGATGACTCTTGGGAAGAAACCAAGACACAATACGCAGCAAGAAGACTGATCTCGTTGTTCTTCAGTGTGACCAAGAACTCCACACGCAGGCCTTGCCTTTGCTGTTCATCTGTTAAGCATAGCAAAGCTTTCAGGGCGACTGACACAGTAGGATGCTGCAGAAGTGTACTATTGGGGTGAACTGCGCTGAACAGGGGTAACCAAAGCTCGTTGTAGGAAGTCATCGCCTTCAACACCTCTTCCACATTAATGTGTTTTTCTCCCTCGCCTTGTATTTGGACAAGTTCCACAATAGAGACTAAAAGCTCTTCCTGGGCTCTGAAAACAAAATGTATCTATATGTTTACTAGCCTGATAAAAGAGAATTTTAACGAAGAAATAAATCTTGATCCACGACGAAAGCTGACCCGTGGCTTTCAAAGACAGCCTGGCCAACGAAAATGCTAGGGCTTAACGTCAAGGCTATTACGTACGTGCTGCCCAGCCACCAACCTATCCCAGGGTGGGTTGCAAGTGACTCTGTGTGGAAAGCTCAGGGGGTGGGGAGGGTTGGTTTTTGACTTATTAGTCATGGGGGATTTACCTTTTGCATATAATTGGACATCTTGGTTGCGTTCTTACAAGGCTGTAATTGTTTTGGACCTTGTCCATTAATCTAGAGTGAGACCCTTGTTTAAAGTATCTCCTGTAATGGAGTAGTTCATTTTGGAAGGTACTGGGGTGGGGTTCGGGATATTTTCAATTTTGAAAGTTTTTTTGGAAATTAACTTAGAGGTTGATTTTTTTCCCTTCTACTCCTGATTCGTCCGAGGTCAAAAGGCTACTTTGACCAGATATGATACGGCGGACGAAGACTGTAGGTTGAAACTATTTAAGTAAGTTGGTCAACAACATTATACGAATTTGACTTCCTTAAAGACTCACCTATCGAGTGTGACCTTTTGTAAAATCATCTCTCTTTCTCTTGAACGATCATAGCCCAGAAGTTGTACCATTTGCCGATATTTTGAACGACGATCACCGGATCCACTTCGCTTTTTTATCGCCATTCTAAGGAGAGCTATTAGACGAGGCAGGATTGTGGGCGATCGGTTCTGTGCAACTGCAACAGCATCCATAATAGACTGGAAATTTCCTTTCAAAACCATTTGTTCTACATGCTCTATCAAAGCACGGCATAGTGTCTCATCGCTCTTTACTGCATCTGTTGCACGTATTGTCGCACTGGCCTCTACAACGGCAAGAATTTGTTCACTGGGTTTCTTGCCTAAAAACTGTGATCTTATCCAGTTCCACGATACTTTCAACTTTTCTTCACGAGAAAATCTCGTGTGCCAGCAAGTAAGAAATGCCTCAGACTTGAGGAGAATCAGAATCATGGACACCATCTCTACAGATTTATGTGATGAGACATTCACAATTAAACGACAAAATGTGTCTGCTGACTGCAGCTTTGGATCGAGAGCAATGCTCCTCAGACTGTCCAGTCTTTCATGTGTAAAGCTAGTTTCTGACGGGATCTGCTCAACCAACACTTCACAGAATGGACTGGCAAGTCTCGCTTTCAATTTCCCAGGTGCTGCACTCCAAAAACAGGGCTGAAGAAAATCGGGCTTTCTTGAACGTTGGTGTAGAGTAAATGTTAAATAGACGCTGGTAAATTCTTCCTCGAGGGTGTAAAACAGGTCAGGACACCCTTGTAACAACGCGTCATACAGATTCCAAAGGCATGTAACGCTTGGGGAATGCTTTATCACATACGAGCAAAATCTGTTGCGACTGTTCAAGTCTTTAACTCGGTTCAGAGATGCTAGCACACTTGGTACCTGTCCATCGAATTGATGTTCAGTGTAGGACTTTGAGGAGAGCTTGTCTGCCACCTGCATTACGTATTCCAAATCAAGAAGGTTGCAGAAAATCTTGATGAAAAGTAGACATCCCGCTGAGGATCCAGCTTTAAAAAGACATTCTGCTACTTTCTTGATGAAGGTTACACTGCTTTTAGGTAACGCTTCAAAAGAGCAGGGCTCTAGCAATAATAGAAGCCTGTCAATAGCCTTCCTTTCGAGCTTTCTACAATAGTCCTCAGCTGAGGCACGCATGCGATGCACGAACTGGCCAAAAAGACAGCATATGTACACAGACTGATAACAAGACGGACATTTAGCGGTGCTTTCTTCAACCCACTCCAAAAAGTCGTCAACATCATTCACCGAATAGCTGGGGTGCCCAAAGCCCACATGTTCGCACTCAATTAACATCTCTTTCAGATCGCGACCTCTGCCTAATTTTTTATACAGCCACTTTATATAGAATAATTGTCCGAGGAAAATAGTCTTCATCAGATTTTTGTCATTTGGACTACGAAAAATGTCATACTGATCCCTGCCGCTATTCAAATTGCGGGTTTTTGCCTCTTTTAGGGTTTTTTCGTCATTTCCTCCACGGAAAGTAACCTTTTTGAAGAGCCATTCGCCGATGCCTTCCTTGTACTTAACCACATAACGATAACGAAAATTATCCTGTTGATCGGGGGGAACGAAAAGTTCGGGAGATATCCAGTGTTTTTCTTCTGGACAGAACTTTAGGTTCATCGTGATATGGCCGTTAAGCATTGGCCTCTCTGTTTGAATCTTCACAGACTCGACTTTCTCCTCCAAAAAGAGGTGGAAGACACAACGAAGATGCTGAAATAAGAAAAAAATGTAAGTCTTCTGTTGAATCTCTCAAATTAACCATCTAAAATATTTGTAGTTATCTAGAATTGAAATCAAATTCAAAACACGCATTTAAGGTGGCTCTGAGGCCCCCTGCAGCAGTTTTTTTAAATTACATGAAACTGATAACTGGATCATTATTCAACAAATCAAAATGGGTTATTTAGCACAATTTTAAGTTGTTTGACTGGCCACGTATCATGATAAATTTGGAAAATTGTCATAAAATTATCAGCAATGAGTGGAAATTAGTCTGAAACAAATATTGTTAATGAGAAAAAATATATATAAATGTAACAATAAATAATATTAACAGTGATAGTAGTCAGGTTACAGAGACAGAGATAGCCGCAGGCAAAGCAATAGTCATAACAACAAAGATAATGATATCGTTAGAGCTATTTGTGATTTGAGAGTACATGTAGTATCTAAATTAGATTTTAAAAGAGCTTAGAAGTCGGGTATATTTAACATTTCTTAAGAGCATCCCAATAGCCCATTTCCGAATTACCCTTGGCCTCGTTTTCAAAACGAGACCTGGTGCTCATCCTTTCATATGATTATAAGTTTTCCTTCACATGCAGATTAAACTCATTTTCACAAGAATGGTTGAGCACCAGGCCTCGTTTTGAAAAAGAGGCCTAGGGTAATTCGGAAATGGGCTATTATAATGGATGTTTAACTGAAGCTCATCCATTGCTCACAAATGCAGTATTTCACGATATGGGTATATCGCATCTCTTGTTAGGGGAACACCAGCAAATCATTTCAAAATTATAAGACAGCTATTTCAAATTGCACTTTACATAACCAAAACCATTGGTTTTTAGATGAGAAACAAATACAATGAAGAGAAAAATAACATGAATACTGCAAGCAACCTCAAAAAAAGAGATACTAGAGACAAACAGTGAAAGGACAGTATCAAAGTACATCACAGTTTGGGTACAGGAAATAAAAAAACAAGCAAAACTGGCATGAAGACAATTTGCAACATAACCAGATTTTGGCATGAGCCAGAGTTACAAGAACATATCAATATTTTATCATTGCCGAGAGAAGACTGTTGCATACAGTAAGGGGTATCAGGTGGGTAAAGCATACTAACACTTATGACTTCAAAAACTACTTCTTGAGGAGAGGTATTTGAAATACCTGATCTTGGTTTTCAGATGGTTCCACGGGGTAGGTGCTTTCTTCTTCCTCAGTGTCACTCAATGAAGTTCTGCTTTCCTGGAAGAAATTAAAAAGGGAATTAAAAAAGGAATTAAAAAGGGATTAATATGCAACTATTACATGTCTATGCCATAAAATTTTAATAGGAGGACAATCTATCAATAACTTTCAGAAATGTTGGATGAAGTGCTTATAGAAGAAAGCAAATATTGACCGACCAAAGCAATGCCTACTTTCCCTAACCTAAAAGAAATTTATCCACCACAGTCCATCCCCTTCTATCTGATAGATAATGTTCTTAGCCACAGGACAGGTTTGAAAGAGTGCTACTGTCCATGAAAGTGGTGCACGGAGTAGAATGCTTAACAGGTCACGAGATGGCTGATCACCACCCTGACAGCTATCCAAGACAGCATATTTTTTCCAGTAGCAAATATGAAAGAAATTTTAAGATGTACTGGGTGGGAAACAAGAACTGATAATATCAACATGAGAGTTCTTCAACTCTTACCTATGAGGAAACTGAGAGAAGAGTAGGAACATTCAAGTAAGTTGTTTTTGAGGAAATAGGGATAAAAAAGTTAACTGGCTGTAAGAAATGGTGGGCAGGAGTGACAGCCCTCATTTATTCTTTGATTGAGGAGTATCTGTCAGCTGCCCAGGGTTAATGGATTGCTTCTCTGCTGCTTCATGAGCCCTCTTATGGGGAAAATATGGCAAACATGAGGGTGCTGGAGTGAATGACCACAGAAAAATCTGCATTGATCGTGTGAAAGACAATCATGGCAACATAAATTATACCATAGACAGAGTAGCATTAATGAAAACACTCTTTGGTCAAGCAGTAACATATATGCTACGTATGATGCACGATCCTCGCAGCCGAGAGCGCTATTTATGCAATAGCGAAAATCAGACCTGGAAAAAATCAGGCCTGTATGGGATTCGAACCACTGACCTCTGCAATACTAGTGCAGCGCTCTACCAATTGAGCTAACAATTGAGCTAACAAGCCAACTGGGAGCAGGCCGTTAAGTTTTTTTTGTCAGGTCTGATTTTCGCTATTGCATAAATAGCGCTCTCTACTGTGAGGTTTGTGCATCATACGTATCTAATACCACAGTTCAAAATATATGAACTTCATATATTCATTGTAACATATATGCTGTAATGTGCCTGTGATAAGTTAAGCTTTTGTAGGTGTGTGACTTATATGTGCCACTGCATTCCTCCATTGCAACTTATATACAGGTTTTTATGAAGTGAATAGATCAGTGTGCAGTTGAGTTATGTTCACAATTGGTAATTACAATGACCAAGGTTTTTTTTCCTTAGATAACAGGATGGTCAAATTTGTAGAAGTTGCTTTGCCAACAGTGAAATGTCAAAGTTTCAAAATTCCATTCAAGATTGGAGTAATGCTAAATTAACAAACAATTAACCCCTTAACTCCCAAGATCTGATTGTTAGTTCTCCCCTCTAGCTGCTACACATTTCCTTGTTAATTGGTTATGAGAATTTAACATTCAATCATGGTAACTTCCAACTGATAAGTTTGAGTATTCTCATTACCTGTTTGCTGGATGATGTATGGATATTAAAGGGAGAAGTTGCATGTTAATCACTTCTGGGAGTTAAAGGGTTAAGGTACCAGTAACTCTGAAGCTACTGAAATTCAGTCTCTGAAAAATTTTCAGAAACACGAGTCATGATAAGCCAATTGCAATTCAATGAAAAAGCTCAAGAGGTCAATGAGTCACAGACACATTGTGCTGAGATTAAGGGTGCTTCTACACTGTATGAGGTTGTGCTGTTGTTTCAGTAACAGTTAATATGACTAAAAACAAGCCTGCTGAAAGGACACCTCATAATACTGTGTGGTTATGAATATTTTTTTAAATAATTATGTACAACTGAAATTTGAGTTGGTATGTCCTCCCTAACTTTATTTTCTTGAAATGTGGTTTTCAACAGGACACTATGAACTATTTTTATCAAACCTTAACGCTCTTTAAAGCTAAAAGGTGACTGAAAAACTCTATAAAGTCTACAAGTGGTTTCAGTCTCACTTCTTGAGATTGCTTTCTAATGCTTCACAAACATCACAGAATGATTGTTGCAATCTAACACTGTGGAATACTAACCATTTTCTAAAGGCGGTCTACAAAAATAGGTAGTTTAATACTGCACATGTGTACAGATATATAGCAAAATTTTTGTAGCACTGAAAAGAGCTTAAGATTGTACATATTAATGCTAGAGGGTATTTTTGCAGAATGTTTGTCTCACATGCAGAACAGAAAACCTAATTCATCCCACATACATTTACTTCCACAAGAGAAAGATGGTTAAAGAATATAGTGACTAACTAACACTCAACCGGTAGTGAAGAGTAAAAAAATAATCATATTAACAATAATAATAATAATTATAATAATAGTACTAGTAGTAATAATTTATGGGGGCTAACCCAAGAACTTTATTGTTCCTCTATTGGTCTATCCTCTTGGCTCCAATGGTGATTACACTATACTCCTTTAAATTTTGCCAGATTATCATAAATTATCTTCTTATTTCATTGCAATTTCATTTTTATGTGACTTTTGTCTCATGGAGACAAGACATTCCATGCTTGAACAATTTTTGCCATCACACCTTACCACAGTTTCATCATTCTATCCAATGGGGTCACCATATTAATACTCATGGTATTCAGGTGGTGTGCGCACTCTTATTGCATTGCATTGTGGTAGCCTTATTTTCAATATGGTGGTAAAAGCATCAGAAATCAGCAGATTTTGACTGAACATTCCGCTACAGTTAGGCTTTAACGGAATGTTCTTTTTCCTTTCATTATAGGTAAAAATAATTTGATATATTCTGAATCTGTAGAAGTATTCTTCGTATGTATTTGTTGCCTATTCTACTGTTCTCAAGGACAAACACAAGCACTATTTTTTAGCATGTAATTTGAGACCAGTTTTCGAGAAGGCCAAATTCGTTGTATGTTGTAGTTTGAAGCCTTTCAAAGATTTGTGTGGTCACTTTGATCCTTCTTCAACAGGTCTGACCAAAATTAATGCAATCAAATGCACTCCAACAGTACAAATGTGTGATAGTGTTTGAGACCCTTCTATGGAGTGAAAAGGCACATTGTTGCATTTAGTGTGTTGCATTACATAGAGTTACTACTACAAGGACATTTATTATAATTATGTACTCAATCGTGCTGTAAATCTACTTTTGTAAGTGAAGGAAAATTAACTGATTGCGAGTGTTGTATGGTAAATCTTCTATCCTGATCACTTAATGAAGGACAGTTCAATTAGAGCAATGAAAAGAGTCACTTGATCCCTGAAAACCTCTACTGTACCTTGCATGAGGCAACATGTTGGAAAGCTGGAAAGCAAAAGGCAGTCAACCATTGAAAGGTGTTGATAGGCCTGTGCATCTCCTACCATTCGCTGACTGACTTACTGACTTAAGCTTATTGGTCCCCTGAGGAACATAGGGCCATAACAACACTCCTCCAATGCACTCGGTTCTGTGTGGTCCCCCTCAGCAGTGCCCATATTGTTCTGATGGTCTTCACCTCTGTGTAAGTGTTCTTGCGCCAAGTCTGTTTTGGTCTTCCTACTTTTCGCTTTCCTTGTGGATTCCAGTCAATGGCTTGCTTGGTGACGTTTGAGGGGGATTTCCTGAGTGTGTGGCTGATCTACCCCCATTTCCTTTTTCTGATCTCCAATTTGATAGGGCTTTGACCAGTCTTGTCCCAGAGGTCCGCGTTGGAAATGGCATCTGGCCATCTGATGTTGATGATGTTTCTTCTCAGGCATCTGTTGATAAAGGTCTGCAGCTTGTGGGTGTTTGACTTGGTAGTTCTCCATGTTTCAGAGCCATACAGTAAGACAGACTTGACGTTGGTGTTGAAGATTCTGATCTTGTTGTGGAGGGAGAGGGCTGAGGAATTGCAAATGGGGCGGAGGGTATTGAATGCATGTCTGGCCTTGTTGATACGGCTCTTGATGTCTTCATCTGTTCCTCCATCTTTGTTGATGACGCTGCCCAGTAGACAAACTTCTCCGCCTTGTTTAGGTCTTTGTCGTGGAGTGTACTGTGATGGGGTCTTGTTTCTTGTTGTTTATTTGCATCACCTCCGTCTTCTTGGTGTTGATATTGAGGCCCGTCTCCTCGGCTTCTTCAGCTAGATGGGACAGCTTCTCCTGTGCATCCTAGTGTCTGTGTGAGAGGAGGCTGATGTTGTAAGTGAAGTCTAGGTCTTCCAGCTGTTTGGTGAAAGCCGACTGGATGCTGGTCTTCTTGTCTGACATTGTCTGCTTCATAACACAGTTGACTACCAGAAGGAAGATGATCAGCGACAGTAAGCAGCCTTGACGAATACCAGTCTACCTGGAATATGTCTGTCAACTTGCCCTCGTGATTGACTTGGCAGCTGGAGTTGTTGTACAGTTGCTGTATGATGGAAATGAACTTGGGCAGAAGCTATAGTGTTGCATGAGCCTCCAGATGATGTCTCGATCCACACTGTCGAATGCCTTTTGGAAGTCGACGAATACTGAGTACAGTGGGGTCTGCCACTCCAGCAACTGCACGAAGATAATTCGCAGTGTGGCGATGTGGTCCGTGCAGGATCTGTCTTGGCAAAAACCTGCCTGCTCCTCTTGTATAGTTTTGTCAAGGGCCTTCTTGAGTCTCTCCAGGATTACTCTTGTCAGGATCTTGCTTGGGATGGAGAGCAGCATGATTCCCCACCAGTTGTTGCATGATGACAGGTCCCCTTTCTTCGGCAGTTTCACCAGGTACCCTTTCTTCCAGTCGTCTGGGATCTGCTCATTCTCCAAGATCTTCATCAGGAGTTGATGGATTATCTCTGTGGAGGTCTGGATGTCCGCCTCGAGTGCTGATGGAATGCTGTCTGGGCCTGCTGCCTTGCCTGACTTCAAGGACTTGATGGCTTTGCTGACCTCGGCCTTGGTTGGTGGATTAATGCTCACTGCTAGCTGGTTTGCAGGTGGTGGGATGTCAGCTGGGACCTGAGATGGGCATCTATTGAGCATCTCTTGGAAGTGTACTGCCCATCTTGCTCTCTGTTTGGCTTCATCTGTGATGGTCTTGCCGTTTTTGTCTTTCACTGGTCTTAGGGGGGGCCTTGTTCATCTCTGACAGTGTTCTTGTGATATCATACAGCCTCTTCATATCTCTTTTGCCAGCTGCTGTTTCTGCTTCTTCTGTGAGGTCGTGTATAAAGCTCCTCTTGTCTGCTCTGGTGTTTTTCTTGACCTGTTGGTTTAACTCCTGGTACTGGGCTTGTAGTTCTTGCTTCCATTGCAGGTCTTGGGTCTGGTCAACCGTTGAAAGGTGTTGATAGGCCTGTGCATCTCCTATCATTCACTAGCACTTTTAAATCATCTTACCCTCAAAGTTTAGCTCTTATTAGGATATCTCTTGATGACTTTCCTTTGCGATGTGATAATAAGGGTCAGTTTTGAGGTGTCATTTCCCCATCTGTATGTTCTTGAGATTTGGTAAAGCCAGATGAGATTGTTGAAAAGGCAATATTTTCTTCTTTTTGTGTGCTATTTTCTTTGTTTTTCTTTTCTCCTGCAGAAATAACTCCAGAGATATGTTTCTCAAAACACTCATCTAGGTTTCCTCAATTCTCAAAGGGTATTTTGAAACTCTGTACATTTTTACTAAATGTGGAGTGAATTCCTTTTTAGGAGGCATGGGGCTTCTCTTTTTTCAAATCCTGTATTTACGCTTGGTGGAAAACATTCATGTATTACAAGGTCTCTGTCTTATTAATATGCAATTGCATGTCAAGGGTCAATTCCCTCTTAAATAACTTCCATCTAAGAATGTAATTTCTGACTTTGAAATTATTCATCCTGCCATCAGTTGAGTGTAACTGTTGCCATTTGTGTCGAGATTCTTAGGCACATTGCAGTTTCAAATCTTTCTCAATAACATCAGTTGCCTCCTACAAACGAATTTGTCATGAAGAAATGATGCGAGTCACGCAGGCCTGTCAAACTTTTTAAGTTTCAAAGGAACGGCAACAGACAATGAATCCCCATTACAATCCACATATATTCACGATATCTCACTGCCACCAAATAAGTTCACTGTAATGCGTCAAGACGCAAATGACTCAATTTTTATTTTATGACCATGATGCAATGCAATCAGAGTGCGCACACTGCCTGCATGGTATTGTATTCTGTGCTTTGTCACTTTGCAAATTTAGCGGCTCTTTGGGGCATCAGCACTAACTGAAATGGCAAAATGTTCTAATCGAATAAAGAACATATTTCTTCAATGTCTCCATGATGGGCAGATCAAGCCTATTTAATAGACATTTATACAAGGAAAAGTCTTTTTTTCAATTATGGGACACCAGGGACACCACTGAAATTAATCTGAGATCTTTAGCATCTTTTGTGGTGTCAGTCTGCAAAAGCTATAAAAATTATATCTTCTGATCTGCTGGGCTTAATTTGCTGATTCAAACAGTAAAATGCTCTCTCTTCAAAGGAAATATGTTTTCTATAATAATAATAATAATAATAATTTAATATTATATTAAATTTTTTTGTTGCTTGTAACTGAAGGCAAACCTCCAAGTCTTCTGCCTCAAAATAAGAAGAACACATTTGTTTTTGCAAGCACAATTTTTTCACACTGAGTGAAAGTTAAGATGCACAGCAATGAATTCCACCAGTATTTATATTTTAAGGGTACAAGATTATTTTTGTCCATAAAAGTGTCTCCATAAGTTAGTTCCATGCCTAATATTTTACATCATATCATTAACAATTTTGGAAATTTGTTTGGTGTCAGCTTTGTGCCTATAATTACATAAAAAGAGTTTTGGCATGAAAGTGGATAATTATGCAACAGCTCTTGTGTAATTGGTAATAAGCAGCTTTAGATTATACATTTTTTTGCCAATTAGTTGAAAATTAGGTGACAGTACTTGAGTAAATCCTGAGCTGGTTTGGTCTTATTTTGTGAGATTACTCTGACTCATGAAAGCTTCTGGAGAGTTGAGTTTACTTTGTATAATTACCATACTGGCTTTTATTGTTTGTATCAGCTACTTAGGAATAATTGAATATTTTTTGAAAAAAAGGACAAAAATACAGTGGAAAAGTTCAGACGATCCTTTGGTAAATTTACATATATATTAATAATCTTCCTGTTTGCCAATAGCTTTTTTAGTTAAAATTTGTTCTGACAACTTCATTTTCATTCACTTCTTTAATTTCACTAAACTCATCCAAATGTATCGAAACTAGAAATTAATATGACACTGTATATCATTACTATCATTATCATTATCATCATCATCATCACCACTGATAGACTATATTAACAGTAAAACAACCTACGTTCATCAAAGGATTCGACTGTCCTAAAGAAGGACTTGTGTTTCCAAGATTCCCACTTGTCCTTTGACTCCTTGGACATACAGCGACATAATCTTCATACATTTTATTTGCTTCCTTCTGCCAGTCTCTTTTTGGTTGCCCTCCATGACTGAAGCTGTGACAGTCTGAAGTTCTACTATGATCACTGCCAGCAAGAGGACCATCAAATCCAGCATTTGGTCTCCTACTGCTATCATTTCTATGAGTAGGAACTTCAGGTTGTCTTCCTCCTCCAGACATTTTCTAAAGTGGAAATAATTATAGGAAAAAAAATGGGGTTAGAAATATAAGTTTACATCGGAGACCATTATAGCACAGGCTTATAATCATTGAAACATTAAAGACTACAGGTAACTTATCCTTCAAAACCCGTCAACATTCATAAAGGTATTTATTCAAGAAGATGGTTTTACCTATATAATAAAACAAACTGAAAGAAATGATTATAGTTTATCACTGTTTTACAAACAGCCTGCCAATGCAGCCATTGTGTATTTTCCTCCTTTTTTGTCTAGCAATCCCAAGAAAAAAGCACTTATGATGTTTCCATACAACATGTCACTGTTCAAGTGATCAAGGTAAATATTCAACATAGGGAAAAAAATCACTGGCATATTAAATATTCTTGAAGCATTTCATAAAATCCACCAGACAAAACAAACAAACAAACAAAAAAAAACTTTTAACAATGAAATTAAACTCTTCCTTAAAAGTGATAGAATGATAGACCTAAAAATATTAAAAATCATGATAAGTAATAAATACTTGTGATCACTGTGTGTATTAGTGCCTTGTTTTCCTAATTGTCACAGCTCAATTAACACATGGTATACATTTCCTATACTAAGTGGGTGTATACAAAATAATTATCTCATTAATTGCTAAGTTAAACATTACTGACATTAAAATTTTATAATCAGCGAGTAAAAAAATAATACATTAAAAAATTATGTGCTTACTACTATTATAGAATGCAATAACATGCTTCCAAGTTGTCAGTCTATCAAAAGCAAATACTACTACAAAATACATCTCATTAGGTCGATTTTAGAATTTATTACACGACTCGGGCAATCAGAGGGCCAATAACTAAAATCAACCAATCAAAATGCTCTATTGCCGGTCAATATTCTCTCAGTATTGGACCGGGCACTGTCCTGAATGGTCCCGAATGATACCGCACTTGTGTCCCTTTGAACTTCAGTCGTATAATAAATCTCTTATTAACCAAGCTTGCTCGGGACCGTACTGGAAGAATATCGGCCCTCGGTCAAGCTTGGTTGATAAATATATCTTATCAACCCAGCGCGAGGGCCGTAGTGGGAGAATATCGGCCCGAGTTCCTGACAGTACGGACCGAGCGCAGCGAGGTCCGTACAAAAAAGACCGAGGGCCGAT